CACCCCGTCCCCCTACCCAGCCTGCCTGGCTCCGCTCGGCTCGATTCCCCGCAGAGGCCCCGCAGCTAATGAGCAACGCCCAGCTGGCCCCTGCAAAGCGCAGTTCACGAGTCTCTCAAACACGGGGACGTTCTACTCTGCTCAGGACCTGCTGCTCCTTTAAAACATCCCCTGGTCCTCGTCGAGGAAAATGCCTGGTGGGGGTTCGAGCAGGAGAGGTGGACAGCACGCCCGGCCAGCGGAGCCACGGGGGGGTGTCTGGGCAGCTTCTGGCCTTGGCCACGGGATGGGGGGGCAGGGGCCAGGGGGCGACCACTCAGGAAGAAACTGAAGTGAGGGACCGTGGGGTGGGGGGAGCAAAAACAAGACGGGACAGGCTCCCCAGCCCTGATTTCAGGATTGAAAGGTGCTGGGGCCCCCAAGGAACCCCCAGAGGAGAAAGAGGGCCGGCACCGGGTGTCCCTCACAGCATCGTCCAGGTGAGGGGGTGACTGCCCACCCGCTGGGGACGGGGCAGCTCCCGAGACACCCAGATCTCAGCCTGATCGGTGGGTGCAGGGGTCACGTGGAGGTCAGGCCTCGTGGGGCTCCGCGCCCGCCCCGGCATCCCCCCGGCCTCTTGGTGGAAGGCTGGCTCCCACAGGCAGAGCTGGGAAAGGGGCCGCGAGGAGCGTGAGCAGCAGGCGTGGAGGAGAGCAAGGCTGCGGTGGAGTTTCTGGGAAGCGGCTGAAATAATAAATCCATGCGCTGAGCAAACACAAGGGCGGGGGGCAGCTCGGAGAGGTCGGGACGTGGAGGCTGGACGGCTGGGGGCCGGGGGGGAGGGGCGGGGAGCAGGCTGTGCTGTTTCTGTCCCTGCACGCCCCAAACCTGGGGGCTGCGGGGTGAGGGGCTGCCCCTTTGTCAGGAGTGGGACACGGACCACTCTCCCTATCCCACTCCTCGCCCAGAACCTGCAGAAAGGGGACCGGAAAGGCCCCCCCGGACACCTGATCCCCGATGCCTCCCCCTGAGCAGGTGGGTGCAGGGTCTGCGGCCCTGACGCCAGGCTCCCTCTGCAAGCCGCACCCCTGCCCAACAGTCCCGGCAGGGGCGCGGGCGGCGGCTGGGCTGGGGCAGGAGGCCCCGCGGAGGGCCTGGCCCACAGTGTTCTCCCACCTTTGAAGATGGGAAAAGGGGACCAGGCCCCCAAACACGCACCCCTCCTCCTTCCGGGATGCAAACCAGGCTCCTGGCCTAGCTAGCCAGCGGTTCTCAACCTGTGGGTCGCGACCCCTTTGGGGGTCGAATGACCCTTTCACAGGGGTCGCCTAAGACCATCGGAAAACACATATATAATTCCATACGGTTTTTGTGATTAATCACTATGCTTTCATTATGTTCAATTTGTAACAATGAAAATACATCCTGCATATCAGATATTTACATGACGATTCATAACAGTAGCGACATTACAGTTATGAAGTAGCAACAAAAATAATTTTATGGTTGGGGGTCACCACCACATGAGGAGCTGTATGAAAGGGTCGCGGCATTAGGAAGGTTGAGAACCACTGAGCTAGACCCTTCCCCCTGACCCGGGAGGGACCTGGACATAGAACTGACCCCTCGCCCAGCCTCTGGGTCCCCTCAGAAATGAAGAGTCTGGACCAACCCCCCTCCCGGGCAGGTCTGCCATTTGCGGTTTAGGGGCTACAGTCCTGCGGGAGCTGCCTCGGTTCACAGCCCGGCTCTGCCGCCGCCGGGCTGGGTGGCCTCCACGTGGGTCACAGGCATGTCTGCGCCTCGGTGTCTGCGTGTGAGCAGCACGGAGCAGGAGGCCTGGCTCCTGGGGGCAGCTCCTCGGGGGGAGTCGGGGTTCCGTGAACCAGGACAATGACCTGTCCCCTGGCAGAAAGGCCTCCACACGCTGATCACACCAACGAGGCCTCGGGCTGCTGGGCCACTGCAAGCAGCAGATTGGATCAGCTGTTTCTCCCCACCCGCCAGCCTGGCTGTCGCTGCGCCAGAATAAACGTGGCTGACCTGCCCCGGGCCTGACAATGAGCGTTTGTTAACGACGTAACCGCCTCACATCTCCGGACCCTCCTCCGCTGCATCCCAGGAGCAGCCATATTGGAAGGAAGCCCAACCTGCCCCCCAAAACTCCACCTCCACCCCGGCTGCCGGGGCCCCCACACAGGGAGCCACCCATGCCTACAGCTCTGCACGCCTCCTGCTCAGTGCTCTCGGCCCATGCTGCTCAACTCACCCCTGCGTGCCTTTGATCTGAGAAGCCAGACTCCCCATGGCAGTGGTTCTCAACCTTCTGGCCCTTTAATTAAATACAGCTCCTCATGTTGTGACCCCCAACCATAAAATTATTTTCATTGCTACATAACTGTAATGTTGCTACTGTGATGAATCGTCATGTAAATATCTAATATGCAGGATGGTCTTAGGTGACCCCTGTGAAAGGGTCGTTCAACCGCCAAAGGAGTCGCGACCCACAGGCTGAGAACCGCTGCGCTATGGCCACCTCGGGTCCTGTGCCCCCAGGGAGCTCCCCAGGGCCCCCCTGATGCCGCAGCTTCTGGTCTCTGCTCAGCTGCCCACCTCCTGGTGCCGGGCACTGCAGGGGTTAAACCCCAGGCTCTGGCTGCAGGAGGACTTGGGTTCGAGCCCCTGCCCCACAGCGCGCTGGCTGGGACCATGGGTCCGCTCTGGTACTGCTCCCAGCCTCCCCCTTTCTCCCCCAAATGAGGCTGGCAATTCCCAGCAGCAGCAGCACCACGGGTGGCCTGGGGGGGCGGGGCTTTGCTCCCCCATAATCTGCCTCGGCACCTGCCCCCGCTTTCTGATGCGGCCAATGACGTTTTCTCCACGTAAGGAAAAGCGTTATGCGAAAGCTGCTTCAACACATCGCATTTGGGGTTTTATGGTCATTTGTGACCTAAGATGTGTCACCATCGAGTTAAACGTCCGTACGCCTGGTGCCCAACCCCACGCCTATGGAAGTACTGAGCCTGAGCAAATCCCTCTCCCTGCCTCAGTGTCCACATCTGAAAGGAGAAGTTTGGACTAAACGACTCCTCAGGCCCGAGATTCCACAAGACAGAACTGGCCCCAGCTCCCCCATGGGACCAGAGCCAGCGGCCAGAGTCCTGGGACAGGGGACAGGCAGGTGAGCCGGCCCCTGCCGGATGGAGGGCCAGGGTCCACCGGATGCTGAGCAAACCTGAGAGCCGCCACCAGAAGCTTCCAAAGACCCCAAACCAGTTCCGAATGACAGGACTTCACGGTTAGAAAAACCTCCTGCATCTGCCTGTTTTCATGGTGGGGGAAACTGAGGCAGGGGGAGCTTAGGCCAGGGCAGACCTGAGCCGAAAACCCCTGACTGCCACGCACCCCATCACCCCGCAATGGCCACGCACCCGGCAGTCTGGGCTTCCCCGATCTCCCCTCTGGAGGCGTGGGCCGGGCCAGCCCCCTCCGGGAGGGGAGCCTCAGGTCTGATTTCCCGGCTCCGTGTCCTCTTAGAGCGGCTTCTCGGCAATGAGACGGGAACGAGTGGCAGGGGCTCCGTAGCACCAGCTTCGAAGCCCAAGCCGTGGGGGCATGTGGCCCATCGGAACATGCCCACGGGAAGAAACGTGGCCCCGGAGAACCGGGCGTGTTAGTCTCCGCGTGTGATAGGTTTTATGATCAAATGGAACTGACGGAAAACCGTGCTGCCCGGGGTCGTCTGGACCAGAGATGGACGCTTGCCATAACCAGCTGGTGGCCTTTCCAGTTCCCCAGCCGGTCCCCCGGGGGGTCCCCACGACCCCCCCCCCCGGGTCCCGGGGTGCTTACCTGAGGCTGTCACGGAGGAATCCCAGGCCAGAGAGAAGTCCGAGGCCTCCCCCTCTTCGACTGAAAGAGAACAGAGATGGGCCGTGAGTTCTGAGGCGGCAAAAACAGGTCATCGGGGTGGGGCACGGACAGGAAGAAAGCTCATTTGTGGGGACCCCTGTGACACCCGTGATCGGGAGGAGGGTGAAGTCTACAAAGAGGACTGCACGGGTTTCACGGATGCAAAATAATCAGAATACGACAGAGTAGCAAGTAAGGGCTGTGTCCGCTGTTTTCCCCATCCCTGTGCCCCTGGCAGACGTCACCAATCAACCCCAGCTCTGTCTCGAATCGGATGTGGCTGCGGAATCCTCCTCCCCTAATAGAGCAAAGACTCAGATACCTCCCCAATCTGCAGACAGCAACCTCCTTACACCACCACCGGATGTGGCAGCTTCCACCATTATCCCAAGAAATGCACAAGGGCCCTCTCACAGGTTTGCGGAGTGCGGGGTGCTGTTCTCCACACGGAGAGCGGACCCCCAAGCAGACCCCAGGGCAAGCTGAGGTCAACTCCCATGAGGCCAGCAGTCATGAGCCGGTGACATCAGAAAGCAACTCAGGTTTCCACTCCACGCCAGGGCCCACAGAGCAAGGCTGGACAGGGACAGGGCGTCCCCACCACCCCACACCCCAGCGAGGGAGGCCAGGCAGGTGGGGACGAGGCCATGGGCGGGGAGAACATGGGGGAACTCTGTACAGCATCACAGGGCTCCTGTCCCGGAATGAATCCCAGCGGGGCAGGTAATAACATGCAAGCTGGGTCGTGGACTTCGTAAAAAGGAACTTGTCGAAGCCAAAAATGTGCATGCGTGGTGTTTTCCGGACTCGAAGGCCTGCTCTGAAGCCGCACACACGAGCAGGCCGAAGCCACCACGTGCCACCCGGTGTGGCGGGTAACACGGCACAACTGTGAGCCGGGTGGGCCCGGGGGCTCCGCGGGCACTGCCAGGACTGGGGGTGGGCGGCGGGGACGAGCCTGAGGACGAGCAGCAGCGAGGCCACACGCCTGTGCGCCGAAACGCAGGACCTCTGAGCGGTGGGCTCAGTAAAGGACTGAGATCCAGCATCTTCTCCTTTTCATAAGTTTCTGAGCGAAGGAACCCACGTGCGGTAGAAAACTAGGAAACACGTGAGTTCACACGAGGACACTGAGCGCACAACTGTTTCCGTGCACGAACAGTCGCAGCTTTCCCGCGGCTGTGACGAGGCGTGTACCGAGCCGCACAGACTGTCCTGGAACCGGTTTCTAACGGCAGCACAGGGCGAACGCCTTTCCCAGCACAGACGGGGACGGACCCTTCGGGATGAGCCGCAGCCTCGGTCCGCTCCCCGGGGCTCCGGGGCTGACGGAACCGATGCCCGGCTGTTGGGCACCGAGGCTGCTTCCATCCGGGTCACATCCACGCACAGCATACGTGGCACAGCCGAGCCAGGATTGCCCTTAGATGAAGCTCCCAGAAGCCAGCTTGCAGGGCAAAGAGTGTGCCCGTTTTTAGGCTTTGGAGACAAACTGCCAATGTGGATTGGACAGTTTCCACCTTAATGAGCACTGTGTGTGTTCGGGTGAACGATGACGCCGAGCGAGGGACTATGGAGAGATGAGAACAGCGACGTTGACCTTGACCTTCAGCTATTAGACTGTGAATTTATAGTGACAAGTATCCCTGTGCCCCTCCAGGGCTGGCACATTACAGGAGCTCAGTGAGTGAGTGAATGAATGAATGAATGAATGAACGAACGAACAAACAGATGGACGGGCGGGTGGATGAATGAAGGAGCAAACATACTACTTCATGTTGGAGGATGCAAAATTAATTCAAATCTCAGAGCGAGACAGAAACAAGTGGCAACATAAGGACCACGGTATGGACGCACAGGAGCACATGGAAGCCAGTGCAGGTGGCAGGCAGGCACCCCGACACCGGGACCACCCGCCACCCACAGCCCGGAGCTCAGAGGCCCGGACCCTGGAAGGCTCGGCGGGGAGGGGACTAGCACAGAGCCGGGGAGTTTCTACTTCACCCACAGATGCAGTTCTGAGTTCCCCACTGAAGGAAGAATGATCATCGGGCTGCAAATATGAAAAGTCTGTAGGTCCCTTTTCTAATGTAAATTCCCTGCTCCCAGATGAAGTTCAGGAAAAGCAACTCAAACTGCACGACCTCAGCAAGGAAAGGTAAAGTAGGGGCAATCTGACACGGCCACACTGGCCCTGCCCAGCCCGGCCCAACCCTGCCGGACCCCACTTGGGGTTCCGCCCGTGAAAAAACCCAGACTCAGGTCCAGGGCTTCAAGCTTCTCGGCCAAGCCCCCAGGGTCAGCCTGACCACTGGCTACAGAGCCACCTTTTCCCCTGGTGAAGGGCTCGGGCTCACCTCCTCCGAGAAGCTCTCCCTGACCACCCGGGGACGGCTGAACCTGCAGCAGGGTGTAGTCAGAGCAAGATGCCTCGGGATCAAATCCCAATCCCCACGGTTTGCTGTGTGACCTCTGCAAATCAGGTAACCCTCTCTGTGCACAGCGACCCTGCAAGGAGCTCTGAGGATACAATGAGAAGGTGCCTGAAAGGTACAGTCCAGAGCCTGATACCCAGACACCTGGCAAAGGGAAGCCACGACCTACAGCCTAACAGGTGGCCTCCGGCGGCCCCTCAGCCCTTTAGGAACTGTCCCCTTTTCTCCCACCCGGCAGGTCACCTGGCCCACAGCAGTGAACGGGAAACAACCATCACTCTGCTCTCCACACACGTGTCCCATTTATGTGTAACCCTCCCCACAGCCCCACACGGGGGTTGGAAGATGGGCCCATGTCATGGATGAGGAAAGCAAGGCCTAAAGTGGGCTAAACTGTAAACTCCATAAGCAGTGGGGGGTCGAGCCCAGGCTGCAGCCGGGTGGGCGCGGCCCCAAGACTCGCTGGCTGCCACCACCCAACCTGCCCTCCCAGCGGACGCGGGACAAGCAGGCGTGGACGGCAGCTTCCCGGGCTTCCGGACCAACGCCGAGGAGCCACGCGGATGGTCGGGCAGGGGTGGAAAGGACCCCCTTTGGAGCCCCGCAGAGAGGGGTCGGCGAGGTCTGCCCTGAGGTCCGCGCTGGGCGTGCGCGCCTCGGGCATCACCAACTCACTCCCACCCGCTGTGTGGCGCAGGGCACCGCGCTCCCCTCTCAGGGGCCTGGTCCCGCGTGGACGACATGGGGACGACAGAATTCCCATTTGTTTCGAAGACAAAGTGGAAGACCGCTGCCAAGCGCCGAGCCTGCGCCTGGCCCACCAGGAGCGACACGAAACAGGGTGACCCTGTCTCCAGTGAACTCGCTAGGGGTTGGGATGTTCCCTGAAAACGCCCTTTCTGGGGACCCCCAGCTGCCCTCCTGCTGAGTCCCGGCTCCCCCCGCCCCAGGTTAATCTCCAGTTCCCATGCACATTTCATCTCGCGCAGCCACGCCTGGACGGCGCGTCCACCAGGGCGGGACCGATCACCGTGACTTTACCACGGCGTCCGGCTCCCACGTCCTGTTTTGGTGGCAACACCGGGTGCTGGGCCCCAGCTGCCAACTCCGGCAGAGGTGGCGAAGGGGCAGACGCTGAATGGCCCCCACGATGTCCCACACAGAGCGGCGGGGAAGAGACACGCTGCACAGGGCCGTGGGGCAGGCCACCAGCCTGAGGTCCCGGGAGAGGGGGCACCTGCCCAGACCCGGCTGCTGTTGGGGGTGAAAAGGAAGGAGGGGGTGAGACCAGAATCCCACACTCTCGTTTTTCCACGTTCATTTGAAGAAAAGTCCCATAAAGTAAAAGCTGGTTATTTTTGCTCTGACCGGTTTGGCTCAGTGGTTAGAGCGTCGGCCTGCGGACTGAAAGGTCCCGGGTTCGATTCCGGTCAAGGGCATGTACCTTGGTTGCGGGCACATCCCCAGTAGGGGGTGTGCAGGAGGCAGCTGGTCGATGTTTCTCTCTCATCGATGTTTCTAACTCTCTATCCCTCTCCTTTCCTCTCTGTAAAAAACCAATAAAGTATATTTTTTTTAAAAAGCTGGTTATTTTTTATGGCCCCTAACAACCCATCTGTAAAAAACCAATAAAATATATTTTTTTTTTAAAAGCTGGTTATTTTTTATGACCCCTAACAACCCGTCCTCTGTGCTAACTGTACTAAAGCCAGCCCTGGTTACATGCGTGCTTCACCTCAAACACACGTAAAGGGGAAACTGAGCCTCTTATTGAAAACTGATGTCTGCGTGTGTGCGCGTGTGTCTGTATGTGCATGTGTGCGCACATGTGCGTGTATGCATTTGTGTGTGCATGCGTGTGAGTGTGTTTGCATCTGGTTTTGGACACACAGACCAGCCCCCATCTCTTCCTTCAGGTCAAAAGCCCCACGCCTTCCATGGGAATCACCATAGTGACCACTTCCAAACATCCTGTCACTCCACACCACGTCCCGGGGGGAGGGGCAAGCCTAACACCTTACTGTTTAAGGAGCCAATAGTTTTCGCGAGTCTGATTTGGGAAGGGGACACCTCACTGGTACAGACGTGTCCCCCAGCACAGCCCCACAGCCCACCCACCGTGGGTATAGGCGGCCTCAGGGGCCTGGAGCGTCTCCACCCGGCCGCCGGCCCCACCAAGGCAGGTCCTGTGTCACCCATACCCGCCTGGCGTCCCCAGGACTTGCACCTTCCAGGTGGGTGTGGCAGGTCCCACACACACACACACACACACACACACACACTGACAGTTAGAGACGCTTTCTTTACATCAGCTCCCTTCTTTGACTCAAATACCTTTTCTTTTCTTTTTTTATATATTTTTATTGATTTCAGAGAGGAAGGGAGAGGGAGAGAGAGAGAGAAACATCAGTGATGAGAATCACCAATCGGCTGCCTCTTGCACGACCCCCACTGGGGATTGAGCCCACAATCTGGGCCTGTGCCCCAACCAGGAATCGAACCCTGACCTCCTGGTTCCTAGGTCGACGCTCGACCACTGAGCCTCGCCAGCCGGGCTCAA